TCCCACCCCAGATCCCCCTAGCTCCAGCCATCCCACACATTAGTGTGTCAGGATTTACTGCAGGTGGATGAGAGGTGTTCCACTGAGCAGCTTGGAGGGAGGAGGAGGAAGAAACAGCAGCTGATTAACAGACTGCCAGTGCTCTTAGGAGCTTTTTCCTGTACAATTACGGATGGGAACAAAGCGCCCTGGTTTTTTACAGTCTCTCCCTATACCAGATAATAACTGCTCACGGAGGGGTTTCAGACCCCCCTGATCCCCCCCCACCCCCTTATATACGTACCTGATTAAACCCAAAGTAGACTGCAGTTTCACTTTAATATAGGGGTTATTAATTACTTGTACTATCTCAGCCATCAGTACGTCCCCTAACTTAGTACAGTTAGGATGATTTATTAATATAGACCAATTATGATAAGCAAAGGGGAGTAATCCAAAGCATTTACCCCATCCTTTCCCACTATTGAGATTTCCTCAGTTTACAGTCATCACATATAATAGGTTGGCAAAAAAATATTTATTTTTCATTCATTGAAAGACACGATCAGACTATAACTTTCAGTTATGATGCCACCTAACCCTATGGTTCACACCTAAGTGTTTTTTGCAGCTTTTTTCATTTTGCAGAAACACAGTACAGTCCATTTAACATGATTTCCTATATGACATGTTTACACCTCTGCATTTTCACCCGGTGAGTTTTTTGGAAAGGGTCAGGGACTTTTTTGAACGCAAGAAGTTGCATTTTTTGAAACGCTGCAGAAAAGCATGTATTGCTACATTTTTGATGAGTTTTAAATCTGCCTAACAACAAAAAAAAAATAAAAATAATGGAACCCCCCCCCCCCGCAAACACATCAAAAATGTGGCAAACACGCAAGTGCAAAAACACAAAATGCAATGCAGAAACAGCTCAACCGCAACCTACATAAGTATGAACCTAGCCTTAAGGAGGACATTTGGGTGGACTACCACTGGGTGGAATGTCACTTTCATGTGCTCTGTGTTCTCTTTTGTGCCATTCAGCATTGAGGAAGCACTTCCCCAATACTGCTCCCACATTTCCAAGAGCCACATACAACTCTGCAGTCCAATCTTGTTGCCCATGTACAGTGACTTGGTCATGTCTAGCCATCCCACCCTTCATTTGCTACCAGTAGTTGGGTGTTGTGAGAACCTGCGGTCTTGTCTCATATCATTGCTCTATACCCCTTGCAATATTTCTAATTCTAGAAACAGGGGACAGTCCTGCTGTTCCAGGTACCCCTAGCTAACACTCCACTAGCGGCTCTGGTGCTGGTAACACTCCACTAGCGGCTCTGGTGCTGGTAACACTCCACTAGCGGCTCTGGTGCTGGTAACACTCCACTAGCGGCTCTGGTGCTGGTAAACTGGTAACACTCCACTAGCGGCTCTGGTGCTGCTTACAGCATGCCTACTGATGCAGCCAATATCTCCAGTCTTCAATTTGTGTGCTGTCTGCTGCTAGGTCTGTGTCATCTTCAGTATCTCTTCAAGCTTCATTGGACTAGGCCACTTCCTCTGCTGGATGTTTTCACAAGTCTTGCATGACTTTATGGCTGAAATCAAACAGTTTGCTAACTCTGAATGCAAAGGCCATAAGCACACACCAACACTTTTGCCCACAGATTCTATACCTGGTCTGCCTATGCCTTAGTGGCCTCCATGCCACCAACTTTTGAACTTTTGATTTTAGGTCTCTCTAGTCCTTGTCACAGCTACTACTGAAGAGTCACAGTCTTCTGACATCATTCCCAAACTGAAAGAGACCATTTTGGCTCTTATTAATGCAGTACGCCTCACTTTGAATATAGAGCATCAGCCTGTTGCAACACACTTTTGCTGTTCACAGTGTGGGGTCATTTAGAGAGTCCTAATCACAGCCCAAGCCAAAGTTTATCTTTCACAGCGGAAACTCCAAGCTTCTGCTCTCAGACTTATACTTTTTAGTTCCGGCATTGCCCAACATTTAGCTTTCTACGAGAGTCCTGGGGCTGGTGAAAGCCTAATTTGAGGAGGTCCTATTTGCCCAGTTTGTACTCTGTTGTTATGAGACAAGTTGGTCCAGTACCTGAAGGGACCAATTGTTCTGGCACAAGAGACTAGGTTGTCTCTAGCTTGGTGGCTCGGGAATCTATCTCTGGATTCGGGGAAGTCCTGCACAAATTTTGGAACATCCTCACTATAAATGCCAGTCTGTTGGGCTGAGGAGGAGTCCTGGGCACTCTGTCAGTGCAGGGGACTTGGATGTCAAATGAATCTCATCTCCTGATCAAGATCCTGGAGCTTTGAAAAATGATTTGTCTGTCCCTGCTGGACCATCCAGAGGGTTGTCCAACCTATATTCAGTCAAACAACACCACAGTGCATACATCAACTATCAGGGAAGAAGTCTCACCATGGTAAGAAAGGTAGAGAGTATCATGTCCTAAGCAGAACTTTACGTTCCAGGATTTTTTTGCTGTTTACATCCCAGGCATGGACGGTTTGCACACAAACTTCCTCAGCCATCAGCAGCTCTCCACCTGTGCAGATGTGGGATCCTGGATGTAGACCTCCTGGCCTCCAGGTCAATAAACAAATTAGACAAGTTTGTTTCCAGGTACAGGGATCTTATCAGTGGATGCTGTTGTGACTCCGTGGGATCCATGCACCCTGATATTCGCCTTTCCCCTAAAACTCCTTACTTGTCTGCTTTGCATGATCAAGAAGGAGAGCAGATGTGGTACTTTTGAGCTGATATGAATCCTGGCAGGCACTCCATGGTTTCCTCTAGATCGTCAAGATATTCTGTCTCAATCACTGATTTACCACCCTGCTTCACGGTTGCTGGCTGTTGAAACCCAGGATCTGAGAGACAGGAGTACCTCTCAATTGGTCATTCCCATAATGCTAAAAGCTAGGAAGTCTACCTCTTGCAAGGTCTATTACCGTATATAGAAGGCATACTTTACTCGGTGTGAAATGTGAAGCTTTCACCCTAGGACAGTGGTCTCCAAACTGCAGTCTGCAGGCCACGTGTTGCCCTTTGCTAGCCTTTATATGGCTCTTGGGGAACTATTATTCTCACTGACACCAAGATTGGTTCATAATTCCTGCCACTGACACTAACGATTGTGTACTATTCCTCCAACGTGATATCAATGATGGGGCACTATTCCTTCAACTGACCAAAGCCACTATGTAATTTCTTTGCTCCCACTTACCACAAAGTCTGAGGCGTTGTTTATTCCCACTGAATCCAGAATATTTATTATCCCCATTGGCCACAATCCAGCCCCCCTGAAGGACAGTAAACTGGCCTTTGTTTAGAAAGTTTGGAGACCTCTGCCTAGGAGATTCTCAGTGGGAAAAATCCTCTAATTTCTACAGTGTCTGGACCAGAATTTGTCCATTAGCAATTGTAAGGGTCAGGTCTGTACTTGCTCTCTTGTTCCAGACACCACTGACTTTTCATTTCTTGATTAAGATTTGTTCAGGGTGTCTCCCATCAGGCTTTACCAATTTGTTTCCCTGTGACTATGATTCATTTAGCACTTCAGAAACCAACCTTTGAATCCATAACTATTCCCTTTTCCTTCTTACCCATAAGGAGGTGTTTCTTGTAGCCATCCCCTTGGGCTGGAGACCTTATCCTGTAAAGAACCCTTTTTGGTCTTAGACATGAACAAGGTGGTGTCAAGGCTCAGAACCTCCTTCCTAGCTAACTTATTTGTGGCCTTTCACAAAAACTGGGACATCTTCCATCCTTCTGTCCTGCTTCAGTTCATCATATGGAGATTTCCCCCCCATTGCCTGAATATAGATAAGGCTGTGAGAGTCTCTCTGTCTCTCAGCCACAGCTTTCTTCAGAAAGACTGACACTTTCTTTGTCATTCCCAATGTTCCCAGTAGAAGTGCACCAGCTTTTCATCCCACCATTTCTTGGTGGCTCAGACAAACCAATATTCAAGCTTATGGTCTCAAAGATCAGGTTCCTTCCTTTCCTGTCCAGGCATACCCCACTAGATCTGTGAGTGCCTCTTGGGTTTTTCTGTATTAGCCTACTGTTTCCTAGATTGCTACCTGGCTCAAACATTTTCTAAGTTCCACAAGGTGGATGTTCTGGTTTTATTGGATAACATCTTCAGGCATAGGGGCCTGCAGGTAGCTCTTTGAGCTGTCTTTTGAAGTCCTGAAAGTTAGTCTTCCTGTCCCTTAATGGACAATTGAGAAAATAGCTTTTTTTTTTGTTGTTGTTGTATTAACGCAGAGCGGACAATCAGAAAACTGTAAAATCCCTTTTTGTAGTCCATTGAGGAACACAGATCCCACTCTTTGTATTTATGATCATGCTTTTGGTACTGCTTGATACAAACTGAGGAAGGAAGGGTTATCCTGTACTGGCCTACAATTAATTTGTTTGCCAGTGTCCAATTCTGTAGGCGACAGTATAACCAGAAGGTTACAGTTTAGCTGAGTCCCTCAACGGACACCAAGAAAAGTATTTTGTAGCGAGTACAAAATTCATTTTCAGATTGTTTGCTGAGCATTAAAAACGTTTACATATCGCTTTAAACTTTTTAATTATGTTAGTAAATAGGGGCTGCTAGTGCTGACCTCTTTCTGAAAATGCTAACTGCCTTCAATGCTTCTGAGTCACAGACCTGGAGGAAGCATGCAGCAAATGAAAGTTGAAGAGAAGTTAGAATTATATTTTCATAATTGAAATTATTGAAGCCAAAGTATTACCATGGCAGCCAGGCAGCCTACATTTTCAGCAAAAGTCAGCAATCAAAACAAACATATTTCTCTCATGACAAGTTTCCTTTAAAAAACTTTAGGTGTTGTACATACAAGCTTCGGTTTGTGGAAAAGCAGTGTGTACAGCAGCTTTCACAAGGCATTTGCAAAGCTTCCGAGTAAGATACAAGCAGCTCTCTTGAGCACCTGTTAGCACAAGTTGTGGGATATTAAAGGCTGATTAAAGGCTGATCGTAATCAGGGGTGGACTGACCATTTGGAAACTCGGGCACTACCTGGGGGCCCAGGGTCAGTAGTGGGCCCCATGAGATGCCCCTGGTACCTTTTGCATAGGCTTTTTTGAGTTTGGGCAAGGACACAGGGGCCCCATGATCCCCTATTGCCAGGGGGCCCCATGAGTTGTCAGTCCGCCCCTGATCATAATAGTAATGCTGCCTGTTTTAGTAAGCATCAGCAGTCACACTGTGCAATCAACTGGCTCCACAGATTTTCATAACTTTTGTATATTTGCATTTGTCAGCTGAAATATCCAAATATTTTTTTCAGGCAGTTGCTACTCCCTGACAGTCTGGTGCTCATGCAGATGCTGGAAGATGCTCCTGATCCTTTTTTTGGGATGATGGACATTCCCCCAGAACTACCAGATCCATATATGATCCCACAGGTAAAATGGTGCCTGTCTCACAACGCCACTTTCAATTATTCCATGGAATGTCAGCTTGACATGAAAAGCTTTTTTATGTAATCTACACAAATACATTCAGCGCACTTCTCTGAAATGTACATACAAAGGAAATTGTTCTGTGTAGTGAAGAAACCAAAACTGTCAAAAATGATTCCATACATAGCTACATAACGCTAATTTGTTTAAAATAGATCTGCACGCTTTTGGAAACGTCTGGTCCTGAACTTGTCAGATATGAAAGAACCCCACCAAGACACCGCAGAACAAGCCGCAAAGAAGGTGAGAGAGGATGCTAGGATGGCATGCAGGAAGCATATAAGGCCTTCACTAAATACCAGGCATCTGATATTTCACAAGTGTGATTTGTATGTCAAATACAGGGTTCCATGACTTGCATGCTGACACCTCTGCATTTTATTGCTGTGCATTAAACTAATTAGAATAGACTTTATTGTGTCCCTTTTGAAATCTGAGAGAATTAATTAAAAAAATAAAAGATAATTAGAAGAAATCTCTTCACAAATTAAAGTATGTATATTTAAATTCAAAAACCACACTGAAGTTGCCACAACAGAAATAGAAGGGAAAACGTCCAATGTGGAAGTATGTTTCATTGACAGATATCGAAATGGAGATTTTCATATTACTTTGTTTGTTTCTGGGACAAGAATTGACAGAAATCTTTCCAGCAAGCCAAATGCAGTAAAAAAAAAAAAAAACCCATGAGCTCTAAAAGTTCCTTTACTCAAATTAAACAAAAAATAATAAAACGTTTTAGCTTTAGATACACATTCAAACCCAATGTGTTTTTCCTGTGGGACCTTGGCAAAAAAGGTTTATACTTTACAATTTATTTTACTGAATACAAGAGTAAGTGAAAAATAGGAATGCTATAGACTACTGTACTCAACCGCAGAGCATGCATTCAGAATCAAGGATATAGGATAGGACCAGGAAATGATTTATTGGTCATTAAATAGCCATGCACAAAGCAATCTGTTTTGAAGACTTATATAATTAGTATACATCAGGGTGGACTGTCAACTCATGGGGCCCCCTGGCAATAGGGGATCATGGGGCCCTTGTGTCCTTGCCCAAACTCAAAAAAGCCTATGAAAAAGGTACCAGGGGCATCTCATGGGGCCCCCTACTGACCCCGGGCCCTCGGGCAGTGCCCGAGTTTCCAAATGGTCAGTCCGCCCCTGGTATATATGCACAAAGCAGTCTGTTTAGAAGACTTATATAATTAGTATACATGCACAAAGCAATCTGTTTTCAGTCAGTACACACTTGCACTTCCACTACTACTGAACACAAGAGATGCACAGCTCAGCACAGGAGGTGGAGAGGCGAGGCAGTGATGCCACATTCTCCACCTCATCCAATCAAAGAATGTTTTGCATTCATTCAGAAAACACAAAGCATTCTCTGCATGGTGCCCAAACTGAGCGGCCAACTTCCTGTGTTCAGAAAGCAGCAGGTCTGCATGAAACCCAGATCAAATGGAGATCAGTGGACTGGTGTCTACGTAAGTGATTTCCAGCTTCTTGGGGCATTGGCCAGATATGGTATATACAGTACATAGTTACATTGGTCTAAGCTGGACCAATATAACTATGTTTATTATTATTATTATACAGCTATGTTTAAAATCTCCATATCTACAATTCATCTTGAAAGATATTGTACATCCACATTTTAAAGTGCATCTAAAACATTTTAAACATTGCAGATTTTCAATCCTTAAGATTGGTGGCTACATTTGTTATCTTTTTTTTCAAACTACTTTCCTTTATTTTCACCTGGTGGTTTCTGCCAGTAGCACACTTCCTGTTGTAGGGTGACAACATTCACTCATTCTACTGTGGCAGGACAACAACATCAGGACTGCAGAAACCTCCTCCTCTCCTTTTCTCCATAACATAGATGGGCAGACATGTGTCTTCCTTAGAGATACAGTAACTAAAAAGAAAGTAACTGCACCACAGACATAGAACTCAGAATATTATCATCTGGCAACATTTCTGGCAAGATCAGCAGGCAATTCTTTGCACTTATAAAACAGATAGAGCAAAGCATATATTTATCAGACCAAAAGGGACAAAATAGAGGAAGACCATTGTTAGGCTTTGCATACCCTTTAATGATGATTCCTAATTCAATTGATTCAATTATTCTCACACCAAAAGAATTATATTATTTGCCAGTGTGTATCTTTACAGCAGGGTTGTCATAAAATCATGCATACAGAACAGAGCAACGTGATTTACATATATCTTAAAGGGGTTTTCTGTTATTTTTGCGTGACAAAGGTGTCAGGTGGTATAAGCCCTTCATTTTAGGATTGTGGTGACCAAGCAATAGAGGCAGCTCTAACTATAAGTATCATACCTCTACATAACACACTGCCTCCCTGGTCTAATCTGATGGTTGCAGGACATTCCATTTGCAACTCAAAATGGAGCAGGTTCCCTTGTCAGAGTTCAGATGAGGTTCCCATGGGAAGAAACTCTGTAGACGTCTTAACTAGTAATTTGTTTTTGTCCTTTCCTTATTAGAGAGTAATCACCTGGCACCTCCAGGAGCAATAACTATGTGAACAGTCAGGTGAATAGGAGACCAGCAACCAAAGAGATTTACTTAGCAGGGCAAGAAGGTGCAAGAAACAAAATTAGACTGATAATGAGCAACATACTGCTATGGGTTTTCAAAGTTTGAGTGCAATCTTTTGATCTTTTAGGCTTTTTTGGTCTAACATAGTGTTTATAGTAGGTAGATTCTGTCTACTCAGAGATTCCTTTTGGAACTTCCAGAGGAGCAGGTACCCTTGTCAGAGCTCACATGAGGTTCCCATGGGAAGAAACTCTGCAGATGTCTTAACTAGTGTTTTGTTTTTGTTCTTTCCTTATTAGAGAGTGATCACCTGGCATCTCCAGAGGCTATAACTATGCGAGAAGTGGAGCCTATTCTATTGCCACCATCAGAGGTAAATGGCGTAAAATAGACCAAAAGGAAAGGAGTGCCTGCACTGTGCTGCCCTCCACTCTCTTTATGTCAGTAAAGTCTAAATACACAATAAATATCCTTGAATTCTAGGCAACCTATTAGGAAAAAGAGTTACATTCTTTCTTTCGTGTTCCTAGTACAAGTTGCTACATCTGTCTCATGCGGCACCATTTGCCAGAATTGTCATTTTTGGTGACAAACTATCATCCAATATACAGAGATTGTTTCACTCAGTCAGAGCTTGTGCCAGGGGTGGACTGACAACTCATGTGGCCCCCGGGCAATAGGGGATCATGGGGACCACACTCAAAGCACACACAAAAAAGCCTATAAAAGGCACCAGGGGCATTTCATGGGGCCCCTTACTGACCCCGGGCCCTCGGGCAGTGTCCGAGTGTTCGAATGGTCAGTCCGCCCCTGGCTTGTGCTATTCCAAGACTTGTTGCAAGGCATCAAGTATAACTCATGTGACCTGTTAATGCTGTAATGGTTCATTGTATAGTCGAAAGTATATTCAGTTTACATTTAATGTTTATATACCCCTTTGCAACCAGATTTATGGGGCTTTTTCCTGCTCTTCTGGTTGGTATTTCAAGCACTTGTTACAGTATGCTGTGTGGTGTATCATCCTTCTCACAGTCCAAAGTGGGCTGCAACCACTGAACAAGCTGGCTCGGATTTTTACAGGCTCAAATAAAGGAACTTTCAGGAGATTAGGAAACCAGCAACCACAGGGATTTACCTAGCATGGCAGGAAGGTGCAAAGGATTAATCAAAGAAACAAAGTTAGACTGATAATGATCAACTTTCTGTGATGACATTTCAGAATCTGAGTGTAATCTTTTTCTTTGTATGTTTAAGAAAATGGTAAATTAAAGGCAATAAACCTGCCTGTGATAGAAATATAGTATGTATGCGTGTCAAAACAGAAGATCCAAATTTTTTGACTCCTGACTCAGGTCAGACCTCCTCTGTTGTTTGCTTCCATGACTACTGTTATAAACTAGCTGTTATTACTTATACTTATTGTTTGGACCTTACCATCCGATTCAACATATTCGGTCCACAACCTAAAACTCCAATCTCATGAATCTCTAGATCTGTGAAATAACAAGGGCTTACACTTGCTTCAACTTCAACACACATTAAACCGCATACCGCTTCAACATGCTTTTTTTATGTGTTTTTGATGCTTCGATGATGCTTCGGTGATGCTTCAACAATGCTTCAATGATGGTTTTTTTGAAGCTTTAATGATGCTTGGCAAATGCCCTGTGGGCTCGTTTACACTAGCTTCAAAACTAGGCATTGGACATGCTTCTTTAACCACTTCATGTCTGGACACTTTTACCCCCTTCCTGACCAGGCCAATTTTCAGCTTTCAGCGCTATCACACTTTGAATGATAATTGCGCGGTCATACAATACTGTACCCATATGAATTTTTTAGCATGTTTTTGAGACAGATAAAACTTTATTTTGGTGGTATTTATTCACCACTGGAATTTTTATTTTTTTTTCTATATAAATGAAAAAAGTTCACAAATTTGAAAAAAAAATAGTTTTTCTTATAAAATTTTGCAAATAAATAATCTTTCTTCATAAATCTTGGCCAAAATGTATTCAGTTATCTTTTTTAGTAAAAAAAAAAACCCAAATTAGTTTATAACCAAAAATTATAATTTTTAAAAAAAAAATTTTACATTTAAATTTTTTTTTATATTATTATTAATGTTTTTTTTAACATACTGTCAACCTAGCAATACAGTGTCACCATAGTGACACTGTACTACTTGTGGGGGGTGATGAAGATTTTTTGTTTTTTTACACTGATTGCTTTACACCCATAAAGGCTGTAAAAGCAATAATTTATCCTTCTCTCTGGCTGCATTCTTGCAGCCATTGAGAAATACTGTGTGAGCTGTGATTGGTCACAGCTTGTCACATGGTACAAGGCTGTTGTGAATAGCCTTGTACCATGTGACCTCTGTGATCATTCACAGATTTCACACATAGTGAGCAATGATGTCGGAAGTGACATCTTGCGTACTACTATTCATGTGATCACTGATTGGCCAATCAGTGATCACACGATCAGGACCTCACACAGAGGTCCCATACAGCGATCGGGGAGCTCGCACAGTCCAAAATGGCGGGCGCCGTTTATGAATGGCAACTCTCTGCTGCACTGCTCCCGTCCAGCCTTCTATATACATGGGCCGGACGGGAAGTGGTTAAAGCACTCTGAATGCCAATCAAAGCCCCTGTTACTAAATAAAATGGTTTGCTTACAGTCCTGTTTACAGGTTGTGTTTTCTTTGCCTTGCTTCGTAAATTATACCCCATGTCGCTTTAGTGGTGCTTCAAAGCATCTTCATAACTGCCATAGAAGTCTATGACAAAGCTCACTTACAGCACCTGCAGCTTTTGAAAGGCTTTTATTCAGCTTTAGCGTGAATTTGTTTCGAAGGTATTGCAGGTATGAGATATCAACACACACACACACAGCATCTGCCAGGCTTCTTTAGAGCTTGTTTACACTTACTTCGACTTCAACACACATTAAAGCGCCTACCACTTAATCATGTTTTTTTATGTGTTTTTAAAGCTTCAGTGGTGTTTGGATGATGCTTTTTTGAAGCTTTAATGAAGCTTGCCAGATGCCCTGTGTGTGTGTTGATATCTGATACCTGCAATACCTCCGAAACAAAGTGAAGCCGAAACTGAATAAAAGCCTCTCATAAGCTGCAGGTGCTGTAAGCGAGCTTTCTCATAGACTTCTATGGAGGCTCTGAAGACGCTTTGAAACACCCATAAAGCAACATGGGGTATAGTTTTTGAAGCGAAGCAAAGCAAACAAAATGTGTAAACAGTACTGTAAGCTAACCATTTTATTTAGTGACAGGGGCTTTGACTGTGTCAGGAGAAAAGACGAGGAACCCCCGGCAAATGTGCCAATGCTCAATATGGCCATGCCAACTCACGCAAAAAATGTGTGCATGCGCATAGGCGGGCAGCTCGTAATCGTGCATTCCTGTGCACCAAAGCACACCGGCACACCCAGGGCATGATAATTACTGACGCTCAGTGGCCTTTATAAGGACTGCAACTCTGCTCAAAAATTGCTGGATTATCGTCAGCCCCGTGTTCCTGTGTTTACTGCTGATTATCTGTTACCGACCCGGCTTGACCCTGACCATGCTTTGGCTCTCTTCCTGGCTCTCTACCCGGCTTGATCCTGACCTTGCTCCTGTCTGCTGCTCTGTGTATGACCCCGGCTTGATCCTGACCTTGATCCTGTCTGCTGCTCTGTATATGACCTCGGCTTGATCCTGACCTTGCTCCTGTCTGCTGCTCTGTGTATGACCCTGGCTTGATTCTGACCTTGCTCCTGTCTGCTGCTCTGTGTATGACCCCGGCTTGATCCTGACCTTGCTCCTGTCTGCTGCTCTGTGTATGACCCCGGCTTGATCCTGACCTTGCTCCTGTCTGCTGCTCTGTGTATGACCCCAGCTTGATCCTGACCTTGCTCTTGTCTTCTGTTCCGTTTTGACCCTGACTACTGGCTACTCATCCTCCGGGATCCACGTGTCCTCTGGAGAAACTCCTCCTGCATCTGGACCACCCACGAGTTCCGTCTCATCAAGCATGACCAAGCAGCAACACCCTTGGCAACCTGTGCTTCTATGGGCACTGCACCTCCTGTTACCACCTCCAGGGGTGCACTGCACTTAGCCGTAAGGGGAGCCCTCTGTATTCCAGCCTCCGGTCAGGTATGTGACAGATTGGCATTCAGAAATCTTTAAAACGGCTTGTCTGAAGCCACATTTTGAAGCACATGTAAACAAACCCTAAATCAGTCAGAAATTCTTCAACTCAATTTTCTTTACCTCCAGAGGCTTGTCAGTTTTAGCCCTTTGACCACAAATCCTTCACACAAGCAACTGTTTAGCCACTTGAAATGTGTCTATAATTGCCCTTCAGGCCATCCGTACCAAACTTTCTCATAACTCTTTAAACACCACAATCTTTCCAGCTTTTTGACAGCTCAGTAACTTCTCAGTCACTATTCAGACCTGTCAAATAGGCCTCTTTTAGCTCTTTCCCATTAGTTGTAGCAGGTGTCATGTGTTGGCTAACACTGAGTCTGTATACCTAAAATAAACCTGTCATGAGAGAATTCCTAAGAACAAAAAGGTATACTGCTCAGGCAAACAATCCAGATCAATCCACAACAGGTGCAGGCTCTGGCTCACCACCACACACGATGCAATAGGAAGAAGGGTCAGCCACACACAGGAGGATAGATGAATATAGTTTGTATTTATTGATCCATAGGACACACAAAACACCAGGACATGAATACAGGACTTGTTAACGCGTTTCACACGATCTCGTCCTTAATCATAACATGTCATGATTAAACACAAGATCATGTGAAACGCGGTAACAGGTCCTGTATTCATGTCCTGGTGTTTTGTGTGTCCTATGGATCAATAAATACACACTATATTCATCAATCCTCCGGTGTGCGACTGACCCTTCTTCCTATTGCATGAGAGAATTCCTATAGCTACTCCTGAGGCATCATGCTGTGGAACATTAATCTCCATATGGTGGTCTAACCAATTTAAAAACAACTATAGTGAATGAGATACAATGGCTGGCATAGCTGACCTTCTTCTGAAAATGCTAGTTGCCTAGCTGTTATACTGACCTGCTAGCCTAAATACATTTTGAGTCACTAACCAGAGGCAAATATGCATTTCAGGAAGCTGCCTACTTGTTCTGGTTTCAGATCAGCATTGACACCACTGCGTTGAGAGTCAGACAGTTAGCAATTTCAGGAGCTGAATCCATCAGTGGCTGCCTCCGTATTTCTCCCATGACAAGTTTCCTTTAAATAACCTCATTTTGGTCTTCAGTTGGCTGAAGGTGTATAGCCCTGTGAAGTAAGGACTTGGTTCTCTCAAAGTTTCAACAAATGCCAATGGGCAGAAGCCTTCCAGGCTTGAGCAGAGGAATACGTTGATTATTCCAAGGGTTGTTTTGCTTCCCTATGAACAGATGTGTGTTCACAAACAATTGTAAACTGCAGAGGGAACACAGATAAGCAGGTATGAAAACTATTCATGTTTGTCCAGCACATTTCATTTGATTCGTATTCATGATCTCATTGGGTGATTGGAAAAAAAAAAGACACAGGGCTGTAGATCAGATGTAAATAACATCCTAAATGGCGGAGGGAGAATGCTGAAGCATTAATAGAGGGGTATATTTTATATAGATAAGTATGTATAGTATATTCATATTGCTGTATTAATTGAGTGCTTTTGTTCCTTAACTGCACTGTAGCAAACCTGTATTACAATAAATCATAGATACGAAATGGAATATGGTTTTCATTAGCTCTCATACTCATGTCTGTTTGTCATTTCCTTACTGGAGTCCCCTTGCCTTGTAGATTGGTCAAGACCTCCCAGAGCTGAGTGCCCTTGATTTGGAGTTACTTGCA